AACCATGAAAAACTACAAGACAGGTAATGTACATGCTGATCCTCCTACATTGGAATGGGTCTGAGACTGGATGAGACTGATAAATCTTGTTGACTACAAAGTCCTCATCTCATGAAAGTTTGGGGATGCAATCTAAAAGAACTTATGGAATTGGCAGGTGCCTTTTACCTGCTCAAACGTAGAACAGAGAATCATCTTCAGTGATTTGTACACACAACACATTCTACACTTTTGTTGATGCTGATATATGTTACTTTAAAAAATTTCTATGTGTTTCAGGACAAAAGGACCAGACAGCAAGGAAAGCAAGAGAAGTATCCTAGGTGATCCATCCTCAGAGAATGCATCTGTTGCCATTTCCTCAAAAATCTGTATCCAGGACAACTTCAAAGTGGCTAGCCAAGATGGTCCATCCTCACATACCACTACCCAGAACTTCAGCTATACCCTACACTTTCCCATCACACAGTAACTTGACAACAAATGATACAGCTAACTCTCTTAGGAAGTGACCATTTTCCCAAATTTCCTATGATTGCGTAAAGATGCCATCACCCCAAGACACTAGGAAACAATTTTAAGAGCATGACAGCTGTTATAGTTTTTAAAATACCATAAAGAGAAGTCTTGCCATGCAACAAGACTCACAAGATTTATTGGAAAAAAGAGAGAAGGGGCATAGAGTGGGGAAGAAAGAGAGGTGGGGGAAGAGAGGGGCGAGAGAGCAGGCAGAGATTAGTTACTGGGGACAAAGATGTTGGAAGAGAAAAAGAGAGGGGGGGGGCTCTCCTTTTAACAGGGAACTTAGATTGTGCACAGGTAGTGCTCTTAGCGGCTACATATCAGGATGAAAGCTGTCAGAACCCTAAGGGTAGGCCAGTATAGATGCCTGGATACCAACAACACCCACATTCCTGAGGGGTGGGGTGGGTGAGTTTTGATCATTTGGTGGATTATAGATGTTTGTTGTCATTTAGGGGGGTTAGTTACAAGTTGTTATTGATCACGGTCAGGAAGGACACTAAGAAAATGAAGTTAGATTCAGGGATTCCTTTTTTCCTTCCTTCCTTTCTTCCTTCTTTTCTTTCTTTTCTTTTTTCCATCCTCTCTCCTTCTTTCTCTCCTATCTAGTATTTGGGAAGGAAAGAGGATATGATATGAAAAAATGGATAATATAGAATGATTGAATAAAAGGATAGATTATTGAATCTACTTTTAAACTAAAAACCAACTATTAGTGTCAAATATTTTACACTGGTATAAATTATTGTACAATGATACAAATTTAAGGCTGTTTTCATCCCAACATACTTTCTATTCTCCTTAAAATAATTGTACCTATGCAACTCACTGGAAAATGTTATATGGAGTTCTAGTCTTTAAAAGTTATTATTATAAAATCTTTGGGATAATTAAGAAATACAAGTTAATAATTAGTCACCTATAACAATCAAGCTTGTGTTTATGTTATGTTTTCTATTTTGGATAGAATACATCCAAAATATTGTTGGATGGTCTCAAACACTTCAGAGATCTATAGACTATGCCATTTAAGATGTTTTAATTATGTAAGATCTTTCATGACAATGAAACTATTCCTGCCAGAAAAAAAAATCTATTTCAAAAAGATAAAAGGCATCAAAGAACCTCCATATGGGGTTTGCATCAAATGTGGCAAAGCTAGCCATTGGGCAAGAAACTGTCTTTGCCTTGACTGCTGACAGTAGTATGCTGTCCAAATTGGACAGGTACAACACCAAAGAAGCTGATTACCAAACTTTGCCAAAGCAAGATAGGAAAGTCCTTCAAATTTTTTGCTCCAGATAAAGTTTGTCAGATATTCTGGGCCTGTAGGGTAAAAATGCGTGTCCTAAAGTTGTAGGGGGATTTTGAGTGACTGTCCAGGCAGCCAGCTGACTCTGTCATTTCTTAGTTTTGGAAGTTGCTTGCTCTGCACTTTCTGTTTACTCAGGTAACATTTTATCCTTCTCAGGTCTCTGATGGGAGTGAAGACTATATAGTTATAGTTTTACAATTTTCCTTGTGACCAAATTCAAAAAAGAGATTTGAAGTTTATAAAGTGTAAGGAGCCGTCATAACGTCGTCATTGTCTTATGGCGCTGGCGTCCTGCAGTTTGGTGGTAGACGGATCCTTTTGATGTTGCTGCGCGGGCTGGAGCACCTTGGGCTTGTATTTTTGCATAACAGAGCCTTGGTTCCCTAGCCTATCTCGAAATTCCCGGGCTACAGCAAAATGGTATTAACCAATCAGCATATGAGCCTCTCCACCCTAGAAAAGCGGCTGCCTTTCGGTTTCGCTCTCTCTCTCATTCCTCTCTCTTCCCCATTCCCCCTTTTCAACCGAGTGCTCTAATAAAATTGTGATTTGGGAAGGATTCTCGATTTTGTGGTCGTCCCTTCTTGCTGGACAAGGGGGGCGTCTCACAATAAAGGTTGACAAATATAAAACTTAAAGTTTTTTTTCTAAGAAACTGTTTTAAGATCTAAAAGGGTATTTTTAGGCTGGTAATACAAGTTATGATTGTTAGGAATGTCTCCTAATGCTAGCTCTCCTCCAACACAAAATTCCTAATCAAGCCAAATCAAAACAAGCCAAATTAATAGACATTCAGGTTTAATGGGAGTTCTGTGCTCTAGGGTGGCCCCAAGGGTGAACTGGAAAGCCGTGCATTTGCAACCACCACAAGGGAGAAAAGTTGCTCCTCTTTTGAGAGTTCTCTTAAATACTCTTGGGAGTTGTCCTGACCTCCACCCCCCAGGGAGAGGTCAGGACCTGGCCTGCCAGGATTTGGAGTCCAGAGTGCTAATTCTCAGGCTCAGGGGGCTAGGATAGATGCAAGGGGCTGGGGCCTAAGCTCCCAACTTTACAGAGATAGGAAGCGATTTAGGTACAAAACTCTAGACTCACCAAGATAGGGCAGATAATAGAATACTTTCTCCAAAATTGCCAAATACAAATGGACTAGACATTAGAAATATAATTCTTACCTGATAATGGTTTCTATTTTATTTAGTTTATTGATATTAGAGAAAGAGAATTTTATTCAATTTCTAAAGGGGATGTGGGAGCACACATGTGGCTCAGTTTCCATCTGGAGTCATTTCTGACTTAAAGAAGTCATTTGAGTTCAAGCTTTCCTGCTCTACTTTTTCCTATAACTTTGAGGGCTATGGAAGACTTCTGATTTAGTCCATGAGAAAAGAACACTCTATCTAGTAGAAAGTATACTGCTGATGAAAAACCTCAGGAACATCAAGATATATAGTAATGCTACTCCCAAGTAGCAAGTACATGTTGGAGAAGACGCTGCTCACTCAAGGACAGGAATGGTCTTCTGGTTAGATACTGACTGACTGTCTGTGCTGTGCTTTGTTTTGCTTTTGTATATAAGCAAGTTCTGAAACAAACTCTGGGATGTTTTCCTGCTTCAGCATAACCAGACAGACCTCCCAATTTGATCTTATCTTGCTTCTTTTATCTGACTTTCCTTTGTTCTTGAGGATCCCCTATCCAGGAACTGTAACTTAATGTGTAGGATTGGGCTCCTACAGAGGCAAATGTTGGGATAATACTTCTATTCATAGTGTGAAGATGTATCTCTCTCCTTTCTCAATGATTGGTTTAATGAAGACCTGAATGGCCAATAGCTAGACAGAAGAGATTAGGCAGGACTTAGGGCAGATATGAACTCTGGGAAAGAATTGGAGGCACACGAGATTCTCCAGTCAGACATGGAGGAAGTCAGACTTGGGGTACTGAGGAGAAGTAACAAGCTATGTGGCAGATTGTAAATTAACATAAACACAGTAATTTAGGTGTTAATAGCTGGTTGGGAACAAGTCTAAGCCAAGGCCAAGATTTCATAACTAACAAAAGGTCTCTGTGTCATTATCTGGGAGCTGGCAGCCCACAGAAAGGTCCGTTACATGCTCTCCTCTTTCATGATCTCTTACAACTCACGCATGTCCCAGGTGAGCAGAGGCGTTTGCTGTATTCCATAGTTGGCATCTCTCTCTACTGCCCTGTCTATCTATGTCTCCCCTCGGGTGTCCCATCCACCTTTCAAATTCAGATCTAGCATTGCTTCTGTCTAGTGGAGGAAGTTCCCTGTTCATCCAGCTGTACCACACATGCAAGGACTTGGTCCTATCAAAGACAGACATCCTCTTTCTCGACATATACAGCATTGAGGTTCCAGAATAATGAATGAGAGAGAACAAAAGGAAATTCAAGCTGAACTTTATGGTCTTGCAGGATGTTGGCATCTATCACCACCAAGGATGGGAGAGGAGACAGGATCAAATGGCTGCTCCCTGCTCTGTTCTTCTTCCTCCTAGGTAAGTAGCTGGGACTTTAAGATATCACAGTGTCAGTGGTAGGGGAGAACACAAATGTCTCCCCTGGGTTAGGGAAAACAGTAAGGACTAATTCATTAATCAAATCCTTAGTCCCTAAAAAATAGGCAAGACCCTGACATCTGATGGATCCTATGTGTGCTGCAGGAAAAACAAAATCAAAACCATAGTTTCAAAAACCTTCAAGAGTGTGTTTCTCAACACCAGCTGTTCCACAAAGGAAGATGAGTAAATGGATGAACTAATACTTTTAAGAATACATTTATAGTTTTATATTTGGCACTTTGAGATAGGATCTCATGCAGCCTAGGATGACCCTGAAGTTGTGATCCTCTGACCCTCGGAGTGTTGGTATTTCTAGCATGTATCCCCATTTCCAGTTACAGTCTGATTTTTATATACACAGTAAAACATACTTATAGGGGCTGGGTGTGGCAGTGCACACCTTAATGACCACACTCAGAAGGTAGATGGAGGTGGACCTCTCTGAGTTTAAGGGCAGCCTTGTCTACATAAGGAGAACTGTCTCATAAAGAAAAAAGTAACTTATAAGTACAATGTGGCATTTGCATATGCATACACAGGATGTGACGGTCAGATCAGGTCATCTGGGGTCACACACGGGACCAGGAAGCAGAGGACAGGAAGGAGAACAAGGCCCGTGAACGTTGTACGTTCTAGAAGGAGACACCCCTTCTCCCTTCTTGGGCTTGGTGTGGGTGCAGGTGACATCTGAGCTGAAGAAATGACCCCAAGAGTGTTGGCAGTGTGGCTGCCTTCAGCTCTGCTCCTCTTGCAGGTCCCAGGTGAGCATGGGGACAGGGTGGCAGCTTACAGCTTTGAAAGGGGAGCTCCTGGTGTAAGTGAGAGGGCGTGACAGTGGGATGGGAGGTGGGCGAGAGCAGCCTGCAGAGGAAGATGGGGCTCAGAGAGACTGCGAGAGAGTGGGGGGTGGGCAGGAGTGGGCAGCCTGGCCTCACAGGTGCTGCGAGGCTTCAGGACACAGTACAGTCATGTTTACCACACCTGAGACAGTCGGGGCCTACTGAGGGCTAGCTGTAACAGTCATTGCCAGAAAACAGCACAATCTCTACTGTGTATACACATGTATCTGCATACATATGTGTGCATACCAAACACACACAAGTACTCATTCCCACAGAGGCACATGTCCCATCCACAGAGATATACATACATACATGTACATAGGTAAAACATATTTCTCTCTCTCTCTCTCTCTTTCTCTCACGCACACGCACACACACACATGCACATACACATACTACATAGGTAAAACATATTTCTCTCTCTCTCTCTCTCTCTCACACACACACACACACACACACACAGTGTTGCTTCTTCCTGGGCCCTTCCTTTCTCCAGGGACAAGCCCCCTCCCTGCCCTCTCTTATGGACAACAGAGGTCCTCACCTCAGTCTCAGTCCTGACTCTGGGGTCTGAGAAAGCCTGTCTCCTTTCTCTTTGCTATCTCCAGACCAGAGAGCTCTCTAAGACCTGACCAATGCCGGCCTGACCCCCATCCACCTGTGAGGGCACAGAAATGGTGTTTCTGTTTTCCAGGCTGTGTCCCTCTGCGTGGCCCCAGCACTGTGACAGGTGCTGTGGGGGAATCCCTGAGTGTGCGGTGTCAGTATGAGGAGAAATACAAGAGCAATGCCAAATACTGGTGCAGACGCTCACTGCTATCATGTAAACAGATTGCCAAGATCAGAGGCTCAAAAGAAGTTAGGAGTGGCCGAGTGGCCATCAGGGACCATCCAGCCACCCTCACCTTCACAGTGACCTTGGAGAACCTCACCCTGGAGGATGCAGGCACTTACAAGTGTGGAGTGGATATACCATTTATCAATGGCTCCTTAGGGATTGATGGTTCCTTGTGGGATATTGATCCCTCAATGGGGATTGATAACTCCTTCAAGATTGTGGTGTCCGTGGTCCCAGGTAAGCCCCTTTCATGCCCTGGCATCCTGTGTCCAGGTCTGTCATTCCCTCATGAAAGAAGGAAGCTAGATGCAGTAGCATGGTGAGCTTGGTGAATCAGACACAGGGAGTGTGAGATCACACGTGCCATTGTGAGAGCATGGGTGGTGTATGATAGCATATGTACACCAGTACATGCGTGTGCATGCACACACTGGCACAGTGGGGAACCTGACTTCTTAGAACCTCTCTTCAGTAAATTTATTTATTTATTTACTTACTTACCAGACTTGTCCATGGTGTGTGACAGTCAGAGGAGAGTTTCTTGGACTTAGTTTTGTTTTCCACAGTGTGGGTCTAGGGGCTCAAACTCAGGTCATCAGGCTTGGCAAGCAAGAGTCTTCACCCACTGAGTTGTCTCATCAGACACTGTTGGAGATTCTCTGTGTGTCCCAAGTGACAGTCTCAAGACTGAACCTTTCTAGAGACAGTCCCTGAATGCCTGGCTCTTTGTAACTTCCCGATAGGAGGCACATCCTCTCTCCCTGGTCTCATTTGTTCCGGTCCCCATCTCCATGTGGGAACAGTACCCCAGCACATCTGCTCCCCTCCATCAAGGGCTGCTCTGGCCTGGGACTGAGTGGACACCTCCCTTCCATGGAGGCCCTGAGGGACCAACTTCATCACAGTGGTTCTGGGGCTTCTGAGAGGGACCGGAGACACAAGAAGGAGCCTAGATTGTATATCGGGGTTCTTGATTCCTGAGGAATCTATTCAACCCCTCCAAGTTCCCCTGTGTTTCCCTTTCCCAGGAACCATTTACTGTAGGAAGAAACGCAGAGAATTCCCCAAAAGTTCCCCTTTTCAGGCAGAGAATCAAGGGGAATGGAAGCCAGGCTCTCAGCTACATTGGTCCCAATGTTCTCCATATCTGTAGTTCATTCTCCCCTAGTGAAACATCCTTTGTTTATGGGATTCCAATTAGCGCATCTCTTTAAGGGCAGGGTGTTGTATAATATTTTGTTTGTGTTCTGGCAAATAAAGGTTGCTGGGAGATCAGAGGGCCAGCTCGCTGCTAGTTAACCACAGAGGCCAGGCAGTACTGGCACACACCTTTAGTCCCAGATGAGAGGAGGAAGCAGGAAAAGCAGGATTCAAAGCCACCCAATCATGCAGGAGATTGAACCTAAAAGAGGAACAGAGCCCAGAGGTGGTGTATGGCTTTAAACCCAACATAGTCAGGAGATGAAGACAGTAATATAGAGTGAACAGAGACTGAATCTCACTCATTCAGTCAGAGGATTCCTAGAGACTGGATTATACCCATTTGGTCTGAGAGTTCATAGAGAAAAGAAGTTTCTAGTGGCTGGCCGCTCTGCTTCTCTGATCTTTCAATTTTCACCCTAATATCTGATTCCAGGTTTTTATTGCTAAGACTGATTGGGATCACGCTTCAGCAGGGTAGTGGCAAGGGCTGAAGGGGCTGAACCACACTATTATTCCCAGCTTTTTATCTTTTTTGAGAGGGGGTCTTGCGTAACCCAGGTTGGCCATAAACTCACTGTGTAGAATCCAGATGGGATTCATCTGGAATGACTGATCTTCCTGGCTCTGCCTCTTCCGCACTGGCATCCCCACACCCAGCTTCCTGTTCTGGTTCTCAGTGTTGGTTTTGCACCTCCCATAAACTTCCCTCCAGCATCCTCTGTGCGTTCACACTGAGGGGTGTGAAACCATATCTACTGGTATTACTCATTCTCCGCAGTAGAGTCCACTCTCCACAGGGTCCTTCAAGCATCTGCCTTTCTAGAACTTTCCATCTGGCTAAGCCTCAGAGATGACTACCCAGTGGGCTCTCTGGCTGACTGTGGGAATGAGTGGGCCGGGCACACAGGGTTCCACCATTCTGTGTCTGTTCCCACAAGGATGGAAGACAAGGAGGCAAAGGTGGGACTGAGGCCAGCTGGGACCTGGTAACACGTGTCTTGACACTGACACTGAACTCTCCTCCGTAGGCAGGTTGGCCTCGAGTTTGAAGGTGCCAACCAGCCACACTGCTCCATGGGAAAGGAGGCCCTGGCCAGGCCTTGGTATGGTCATCAGCCTACAGGCTGTGGGGCTGCTGTCCACCATGTGCCTGTGTGAAGCAGAACTGCAGAGGTTTCAGTGGGTAGGAGATGGAGTGGCGGTTACGGGGACTGTCCCATGTTTCCATCCTTTATTCCTATCACAGGCTCTGTCCCTGAGGACAGAAGGAACACCCTGGGGTCTCCCACATCCTCACCAGTGCACACTCAGCCCAGTGTGACCACAGAGGACACAACTCCTGGTCCCAGCCTACAGCCTCGGTGAGGAACCCATATCCCTGAGGTCTCTGGATCATTGAGTGGGGGGAAGTAATGTTGAGAGGGTGGAAGGAAAAGGGTTTGGTGCCCTCCTTGGGCATCTCCTGCATCTCCCAGTCCCATACTGACTTGGGGAGGGATATCTTTTGAGTGCCAGTTGCTCATGTAAAGATTGGAACACAGTAATGACACCCAGACACAGACCTGCTGAGATGGAGTTAGTTTCACATCCAGAGCCTGAGGAGACGGCTCTGCTGGTAAAGTGCTCGTCTTACAAACACAAGGATCTGAGTTCGAGTCACAGCACACACATGTCAGGCCTGGTAACATATACTTAAAATACCTGATCTCTGGAGGTGGAGACAGGAGGATCCCTGAGACTCGCTGGACAGCCAGCCTAGTCTACGTGGCAAGCTACAGACCTCTGAGAGACCCTGTCAGAAAAGAAGAGAGACGGACCAGGCATGGTGGCTCCTGCCTTTAGTCCCTACACTTGGGAGGCAAAGTTATCAATCTCTGAGCTTAAGACCAGCCTGGACTACACAGTAAATTCCGTCCTAGCCAGTGGGACACAGTGAAACCTGTCTCAAAACAAACATAACAAGGTGATGATTCTTGAGAAATGGCTTCCAAGGTTATCCTCGGGTCTCCACATTCATGTGCACACATGTGCCCCTCATATGCACAGATGAACATACACACACACAACTAAATTAACTAATAACTAATTAGAATAAATACAGACACTAGGTGTACTAGCATAAGCCTTTAATCCCAGTGTTTGGTAGGCAGAGGCAGGTGCATCTCTGTGAGTTCCAGGCCAGCCTGGTCTACATTGTAAGTCCCAGGACAGCAATGGCGATATAAAACCAAAACCAAATGATAAAATAACAAAATAACTGCCTCTAGGAGGAAAAGGGGAGGCTCAAGTTAAAGGAGAGCTGGGGCCTTGGTGGGGGGGCACGCCTGCCTTGTTACAGGCTTTGGGAGTTGAGGTCCATGGGGTTGGCCTAGAGAGTGGGCCAGGCCCACAGTGCAAGGCAATCGGTCACACTGGCTGACTGGGTAGGAGTCTCTTATCCCTGAAAAGAGCACATGGACACACACCTGGGTGAAAGAGACAGGGACGGTAAAGGGCACCCGTGCTGCATTCTGGGAAGGCACTTTACTGTGACCTTGTCCCCTACAGATCCCTGATGAGCAGCATCTACTTTCAGATCCTGGTCTTCCTGGAGCTGCCCCTGCTTTTGAGCATGCTCAGTGCGGTCCTCTGGGTGAACAGACCTCAGAGGTGCTCTTTGGAGAAGCGGCATCGCCACGATTAGAGAAACAGTGATGTCTGTTGACAACGAAGTCCTGTCCATGTCCCCGCACACAGCACCCCTGGTGTCAGAGGACAGTCTGTGCTTCTGAGAATAATAGGGGACTTCAGCCAATCACATTCTGTTCGTGGGGCGTGTCGCCCTTAGGCTAAAGTTTACCTATAAACCTGGCCAGTGTGCTTCCCCTAGCTCTCTCGCCTGGCTCCTGCATCCATACGGATCGGATCCTTTGGATTCTGGTGTAAGCTGGTGTAAGTCTTGCTTCTGTTTATTAAAGCTGTATATTTTGTATTAAGATAGTCTGGGGACTTTTCAATACCGATCGCCCTGCGGCATCATGAGAGTACTCTGAGAAGTCTTAGAAGATTCTTTGTGCTGTGTCAAACAAATAAAAGAATGTACCCAAAAAATACATATACATATTAATAGAGTGTCTTATTTATTCTTAGATAATTTTACAATGTACACCACAACTCTATCATATCCACCTCCAACCCCACCCCCCACTCCCTTGGGCAGGTGTTCCCTCCCCCTTCATGGTCTATCCCCCTATTCCCGTTCTTCTTCTTTACATAACCTCTGTGTCCAGTCAGCGCCACCTGCTGGGATGCTCACCGTCCTTGCTGTTAAGAGGTTTGCGTTTGTGGTGTTTTATTTAACATTTGAAGTAGTGAACCATTATTTATTTGGAGTTTCATGTTCCGGGTGGGGGGACAGTTTTAGGCATTTGATTTTCTTGCATGTCAATATCAAAATGTTTCAACAGTATTTGCTAAACTCTCCATCTTCCCAGCATTATTCTTGCTTGTTGTCAAAAAAAAAAAAAAGCCAACACATTTGAGTGGAAGATGTGTGACATGAAATAAAGCCTAGGGAGAGATGAAGCCACCAAAATATGGATTCTGGAGCAAGGACAGAGCACAGTGGAATGTACACAGACAACGAGTTTCCCTTAATTTATCGTGGGCAAACAGAACCTGTGTGTTCATCCATGCAGAACTCAGAAGCCAGTCTGCGACCTCTGACTAAAGGATGGAGACTTCACAGCTGGGATGGATGCCGGGGCCATATGGTGCCCCAGCAGGCATGGGGACTGAACTTCTAAGGTGCACAGATGGGCCTGAGGGGACAATGTGGAGACATGTCAGCTGGGCAGATTCAGCTCTTCTGCGTGTCCTGTGACTGGGGCCTGTGTTGTACCACACCTTCAGGTCTTGTTGTCCTAGTAATAAGCAATAAGACGACCCAAGACTGAGACCCTTTTCTGTCGAAGTTTAATGTCCTGGCTGGAAATTCTTTAAAGCTCCTATTGCTCATGGGGATCGAGCTTCCTTCTCTTGAGTCTGGGTGTTCTTGGACGGCTTCAGCCAGCAGATGGCAGTGTGGATCCTACTCTGTCCTTCAATCAGCATCTTTTTCTAAAATTAAATTTATTCATTTATTTTACATCCTGACCACAAGTTTCCCTCCCTCCTCTTCTCCTATTCCTTCCCCCCACCTTCCCTCTATCCCTTTACCAATCCACTTCTCCTCTGTTTCTTCTCAGAAAAGGCCAGGCCTCCCGTGAATATCAGCAAAGAATGATATATCAAGTTGAGGTAGGACTAAGCTCCTCACCTTGTATTAAAGTTGAACAAGGCATTGCAGTATGAGAAGTAGGCTCCCCAAATGCAGTCAAAGCATTAGCGACAGTCCCTGCTACCACTGCTAGGAGTCCCACAATTAGACCAAGCTACACAACTGCTACTCATATGTGAAAGGCCTAGCTCTGTCCAATGCAGACTCCTTGGCTGTTGGTCCAGACTCCGTAAGCCCCTATGGGCTCAGATTCCCTTGAGCTGTCCTTGTCCCCCTGGCTCATGTAAACCTTCCTCCCTCTCTTCAGTAGGATTTCCCAAGCTGAGCCCAATGCTCTCTGATGACAATGTGGGTAGTTGTCAATCCTAAATATAGCAGAATATAGACTCAGTCTAGAGTTTTTAGAACTGTCAATATCCTCATTCAACCTTCTTTGTACACACCCTCAGTCACACCTACAGGGTATTCTCCTAGTTGATTCATATCCAGGCAAGCTTACTATGAAGATTAAACATCAGAAGAATTCATAATTAATAAAAAAGTCTCTGTGTCATTATTCAGGAACTGGAAGTCCAAAGAAAGACTTGCTACATTTGGCACTCAATGTGGTGCACATACAGCCAAGCGTAGGGCCTGAGAAAGCTGAAAAATGTACCAAAACCACAGTCTCTCTGGCAGGATTGTGAGTGCTTGCTGCATGGAACCGGCACTTCTTGTAGGGTCTGTCATGGCAGGCAACTTGGTCCTTTAGGGCTTGGTTCACACTGTCATAGAAAAACTGCAGACATTCAGAAATCCCAGTTCAGACTGAGAAAACCTCTGAACAGGTGTAGTATGCTTGAAAATGCGCATAGATGCTGAAGACAGAAAAAAAATGGACATAGACGGTCATAGAAAAATTAATTAGGGACTAATCAAGTAAAGTCTTGAAAGAAGGAGTAAAGTAATATAAAGAATATTTAGATATTTTTATAAAGATGGAACATATTACACACAGGACATTTGGACCTTATATAGTGCTTTATTTACTTTATATTTTTAAAATAGTAATGAACAAAAGACAACAGCTGTGGGAAGACAATGGATAGTAAAAAAAAAAACCTGCTGAATTATTCCAGCATATGTAGTTTAAGACTGTCTGAACTTCAGAATGGAAGTCACTATCACTAGCCTTAAGAGTCCAGCTTTCAAGGCTACATCCAAGACATAAGTGGAAAGTAAATGAAGTTGAGAAATTGACTTAGAATTTCTTATATTAGGGGTAAAGACTCACATACATGATCTGAGGGCTGGTTTTTATTCTTATTTACATCTAATTCTCTTGTCCTAATTATCTATAATTTCTTAACTGCAATTCTTTAATTTCAGTTTAATTTCTGTGGTTGTAAATCCTTTTCTAAGTCTCTGTTCCAAATCCCTCTGCTTCTATATTCACCTAACTTAGACATACTTTTGTTTTTTACAGGAGACTTGAATCAATAGTAAACAATAACAAGAGTTGCTTCTCATTGGTTAAAAGCAATTCCTAGGGTGAGTGACAAGGAGCTGAGCCATTTCCATGACAACACAAAGTTTCAAGGTTTCAGGAGAAGGACTATGCTCAGAGTCTGGTGGTACAGTGCCAGGTTAGATAACCCTCAGGACATACCAGCTAGACTTGGAAAGTGAAAATCAGCATGATATTTTATGCTGCTCTGTGTTAATCACCTTGATTAGACACCTGTGACTCTACCCTTGTTCCCTATTAATCTGTAAGGGACTTTGATGCAGTAAGGCCAGACACCTGCAACTCTGACCTTGTGCAGAACTGTAAAGTTTTAAACGTAGGCTCTATATACAGAACTATTTAGTCTAGTTTGAACTTACTCTGATGTGAAAATGAGCTAATTGTGTGCAGTTTGTCTTAGACTAAGGAGAAATTGTTAAATTCTTGTGTTAATCTCAGTAAAAGGAACAAACCAGGCTTTTAAGTTCTTACAGTCCTCGTGGGACAAAAGATCTGGTTATTAAGTATATCCTAGTATACTTTCTGTATATCAAAATCATACAACTAATGAGAAGTCATCTTCCTGACTATCCACGAATATGTATACTCATAAGGTTAAAATGTAACAATGAGATTGCATATGTATATCACATGAGATTACACACTACAATGCAGGTATTGGGTGATATCAAAGCTGGTTTATAGCACAAGTGAAATTACAGACAGGAATAATAGCTTTCAGAGTCAATGGCCCCACAGGCCTTGCCCAAATGGGATTCTCCTCCATCAGAGAAGCATTCTTCTGGTGGGTTGACATTTGGACACTAGTTATCACCTCCTGTATACTTTTATGGCCATTGACAAGTCAGGGAATGTGTTGCGTATGTGAGGGCCTATGCCTTTGTTTCCATAAGAAATGTTATGGGAGTAACTTCCGCTGCCTCAACCAATAGTCGCTGAAATACGAGCCCACAGTGCAGCGGGGAGCGACTTCCATTCCGTCAGCCAATAGCTGCTGAAATACCAGCCCACTGGGGCGTGGTATATTTCTCTTTTAAAAAGAGAAGCAGATCCGGATCAGGCCCTCTTGGTTCCAGCTCTTGGTTCCGGTGCTTGGTCCCGGCTCCTGCTCCCAGCTCCTGCTCCCGGCTCCTGCTCCAGCGACTAGGCTCCCTTCCTGACGGTTTATGGTGTATGTAAGTTTTACCCCCCAAAATAAATAACCCCTTAAAACATAACTGGTGCGGGATTGATTCGCTGATAATTGACGCCCAACGTTTGGTTTAAGAACCGCCCCACCCCACCACCCCCAGCTTGGCCTTCCAGGATACACAGGTCCGGACAGTCTCTGCCGGCTTACTTTGCCCTGTTCGGCACGGATTTTTAAATTTTTCCTTGCAACTGAGTCAAAGAGCTCACAGCGCAAGCTCCCTTTGAAGTTCCAGCAAGCTGTTTGAAACCCCTGCCATCCGCCATAACTGATTATGAGTGCTGCAAGCAGCTTGATCCTTAATCCCAGCACAGGGACACGGGGCCCAAAGCACTAGGCCTCTTTAGCAACAGCGCAGTGGCTATGTCGCGACCCTCTGCATCGGGTTGAACAGAGCAGCAGGACCTTGTTTATTGCCTTGTTTATTGGCCACTAGAAGCTCTCTGACCTTTTGTGATCTGTGGATTTAACCTCTGGATTTGAGTGTATATATTCTAGAGTTTACTTCCTGAATCAACACCACTGCCACACGGATTCAGGTGCGCCCCACCTCCTACTGGCAGGCAACGGTCATTACAGGTAAGATTTTTCTTTTCGGTTGAAAATAAATACATACATACATACATACAAGTACAATTTCTTTTGATTGAAAATGTCAGAAAATATTACTATCCAAAAGTTCAATGGTTTTTTTAATTGCGCTATGGAGGATATTCTGAAGGATGTCTCAGATATTCCTCTTACTTTGTTATTCCTGGGATCTGTTGCTTTTCTGGTGTTTGGCTATTTTATAAGAAAGATACAGTCCTTACAGACTGAATCTACAATGCTGAGGACAGAGATTAAAACCTTAAGAACAATTCAGACTGATACCAACCTCCTCAAAAAAGAGTTTGGAGATTTCAAGGAAGAAACTAGATCAGAGTTTGG